ATATGCCCAATAGATAGACTGTGATCTGCTGTATTTTATCTCTGTGTGAGAGGTGAGAGACAGTGTAACTCTGAGTGACAGTCCCCCCTGCTTTCTGGAATAAGATTTCTTCACATTTACTGTGATGTTCTTTCACTTCCATGCAGATAAGATGTTTCATTAAGATAATTAGCAGCCTGTAGCTTGGGCCGCTGTCAGGGCATATCCTCATACTCCGTACTAGTGACATCAGGTCACCACTAGCAGGAAACATGCCTTGGATCTTGTGAAAACTGATTTGGTCCATTTACAGGGCTTAACAAGGCCACTCTAGCAATAGGATCCAAACACCCCTTGCTACATGCAGAAATCAGGGTGCTCCTGGGACACTGCTGCCTCCCTGAGATAAGGAAAAAGCCAAGAGGTCATCTTTATAAATGTTGCCCACAGGAGTGCAGGAAGGGATCCAGGTATGATCAAGACATGGTGGAATAGTTGAGTTGGAAGTAAAATACCCTCATCTAAGAGGCCAGTTAACTGAGGTTTGGGGTGTTTCAGTGGAAGAGTCAGGATGAGTATTTAGGTCTTGTAATTCTAAAAGAGTCTATCATCTTACGGAAGTAACTAAGGATTTACACTGGATGGTTACTTAATACCACACCTATCTTAGTGGAGGATCTAAGGATCTGTTTCATGGGAAAACACTGAAAAGCAAGCAAAGTGCAAAAAAGCAGATAAAAGTCCAAATTACCCCAGTCCTTTTAGCAAAATAGCTACTTCTGATCAGCATTCAGAACATCTAATTCAGAGCATCTAAGTTTATCTGAAACTTAGCTTTCACAAAGCAGCCAGAACAGAAGAATACGGCTTTGAGATCAAGAAAAATGTGAAGACAGAAGATTGAATGGGTAGGTAACTATGTATAGAACAGAAAAGAATACTGATCATGCTACGTATGCTTCTTGGGTAGAGCTCCTTGCTCAACACAGCCAGCCCCAGCACAGAGGAATATCGGGGAGAAACAAAAAAATTGGTTTTCCTGACAAAAGCAAACCCCCAGGGAGGGTCAGGTTTAGAGGCCCACCGTGGACATGCCCAAGTGTGTGTGGTGTAGCCACAGCTCAGTGTCTGTCCTCAGAACGTGGCCTCACAGTGTCCCTGACTCCAGGCATCTGAGGTGTCTGCTGGCACCACCTCTGGACTACTACTTTTATATTAGCTCCTTACTTTTTAGGAAACCTGAGACACCAGAAATCACATCACAATAACCAAATAGGGGGAAAAGGTGCAAGATGATTTCCATAAGGTCAGCAATGAAAACACACCTGCTATGTGAAAACCTAAGGACAGGGGGTAGGAGACTGGGACCCTGGAAGTGTGACATGGTCATAACTAGAACAGCTAATAGTGACGACTAGCAATAGCTACTGCCTACAGACTGCCCACTCTGTGCCAGGCAGCACACGGGTTCTCCGGTGTGCCCTCCCCTTTAGTCCACAGCAGTCTACACAGAGTGCGATCACTGTGTACATCTGTCCTGTGCAAACTACCTGGAATGTACAAGTATTGCACTAGGTACTTGACAGATTTTTATCTTTAAACTTAATGATAACCTTACAAAGTGGGTATTATTCTGCCCCATTTTACAGATGAGGAAGGAAAGGTTCAAGCAGGTTAAGTGATTTGTCCCGAGTCCCAAAGTCAAGGTTGGAATGTGGCTTCCGAAGCTCTTTCAACTTGAGTTTGATGACAATGAAGAAAACCTAACAAACATACTGCAGTATACGAGGGTATATATATATAATTTATTCACATAAGCTGCAGCTCTAGATAGCAACTGCTCCTAAAGGAGTCTGTCCAGTCTCCAAACTGTTCTCCAAACTTGGTAAGACTGACAATGGATTCTATCAGACAAATATGTTTGGAGTTAGTAAAAACATTATGAAATGTCTTTGTTTTCTAGTTTCCAGACTGAACTGCTTTAATATGAGCAGACTTACAGCAATGTCAAATTCTTCTCCATTCTCTGAAGTGAGTCACATGCCAAAACGAAAAGGAATTTTTTTTTTACCCCCACCCCACACTCTGAAAAGGAATTTTTAATACAACTTTTTACCATACCATGCCTCCTACCTCGAGGAGTTTGTGGATGATGTCTATTTCAATAAAATTCCTGATTGCTTAATGACTTTTAATGACTAAAAACACAGATTCTGCATGTCTGGAAAGGCTATTGGAATAACGCTACAAAGACTGGATAAAGCTAAGTAGAAAATAGCGCTTTTATTCTTGATCTATTTTTGTCCATTAAATACATACTTACTTCCCTGTAGGTACTAATGAGATTGAGTTAATGGTAACAATATTGTGTTTCTTTATAGAAATAACATAACATTCTAAAGTGGACTCCAAACTAATGTCAATATCAAATTAAGAGTAATTATTTCCATCTTGATTTAAGCTTCCAGGAAAGAAGCTAATATTTTCAAGGGGCAACTCTACAGCCTGCCACAGCCAAGTTTTCGCCCATTCCTTTTCTGAAAGAAGCAGTCCTCTGCCCTCCTCCCCCAATCCTCTGGATTTTAATGTTAATATTCTACATTGAAAAACTTTTATGAGACTTGAAAATATGAATACAGATTAAATTAAATACTACGCTCTTCCATTTAGGTTCTCAAAAATTGGTTCAAAGAATGGTGTTGCAAAGCAATGACCCAATCCTTATTTTGCTACTGTTCTTTGCTATCTAACAGAGTGGACAATACCCCATCCCATTTAATTGGAAGAGCTGCTTACATTTCAAAATCGTAAGAATGATATTAAGTTGGTTTTCCACTCTGTGAATCACTTACCCAGTGTGAGGGATTTGTGCGTAGAACAGAAAATGATAGCCACAGTGTCTGCTGGTGTGAAACCCGAATTATCCCTAGGGGCAAATAAAAGTGTTTTACAAATACTTTTATAAAATGCCGATTTAACACACCCTAAATCAAATGTAGTTCCTACCTTCATGTTAACACCTCTTCGATCAATCCTGGTGACAGAAGTAATTCTATGACCAAATGTACAGAAACGTCTAAATTTCTTTTTAGAGAATCATTTCTGAGTCATTTATCCATCAGAAAGAGACAGCTTTAAAAAATGTGTGGTGAAGGTCCCCTAGGATCACATGTAATCAGCCTGTGGTATGGGACTTTATGGCGGTGCAGTAAGGAACTCTGTTAGGGATGCTGCCAGCCCGTCGCTTGATGCCAATCAGTGGCTTGAAACAGTGGATGTGTCTCCAAGCAGCTTCCCTCCAGGGCCAACAATACTCTTTTGGCAGCAAACACACCCTTCTGAGAAATACATGGTATGAGCAAAGATTTAACATCATACGCTTTTGGAAAAGCAATAAATTACCATTCTTTGAACAGCTCCTGTAAAGACAACAACCCTGTAAGGTAGGCAATACAATATCCCTATTTACAGATGAGAAAAGGGGCCTCCCCAGGGCCCCACAGCCGGTAAGTGGCCCAGCCAGGATTTAAATGACGTCTGGCTCCTGTTCCTGTGCTCTTACCTGCTATGTTCTACTGTTGTTATATAACGTTAAGCATCAAAAAACATCTTGCTTAGTCAAAATCCATTAAATGTGATGGGTGGTCAGTCCTGGTGAATATTATATTCAGAGTTCCCATTTTAGATGGAAGATTTAGAGAACCAGGGGCCAAGAAGGTTAGGAATGTAATTATTATTATTGTGTCCTTGATATGTTAGAAACTATTCCTTTTTGCAGAGTCAGGGCTTAAAGATACAGTAAGTCTATTCATTCCCTGCCCTGAACTCAGACAAGAGAGTGAGCAAATGGAGAGCTGCTGCAGGACCTGAGTGCGGGCGTACACTTGCAGATGCAACAATCTATCCAATTTTTAAGGCTCTTTAAGGAAAGAGATCCCATCATTTCCCTTAGGAACCTCATTAGAGTTTCCCTAAGTAGATCCCACATCCTGTTTCCTTCATTATGTACTCAGTGGAGGGGAGAAGGGCCCTCTTCTCCTCCTCAACCCCTGTGCATATGTCAGAAGAGTATTTAAATGGTCCTTTGGTCTCCTCTGAAAAGTCTAAGTACACTCAGGCTTCCTCGCCAGTCTTTCCTCCAGCTCCTATTTTGATGACTTTCCAAACTGATTATTTGGTGCCTCAACTCAGTTGAGGATTTTCCCAGAATATGTATCACTTGAGTATAATAAGAATGCTTTACTGTTCCCACATTTTATTCTCATACTTACAGTGGGACACCACTCTTATTTTTTAAACATCATGCTCTCTGGCTGACACATGCCTTGACCCCTATATTTCTCATTGTGCAGGCCTTACGTGAAGGGAGCCAGGAAGGCTCTGTGAATGGATGGAGGAAAGGAATGCAAAAGAGGAAGAGAGTGAGGAGGGGCTGGGGAGAGGGGGAGAGAGAGAGAGGCGGGGGGGGGGGGGTCTTGGCCCTGAAAGGGAGGATCACCTCAAGCTCAGCAGGGGCGCGGGGGCTGATGACACAGCACCCAGAGAACCTTCCGGGGGGAAAACAACAGTCAAGCTGGGCTTTGGAGAACAGTTTTGGCCATGTGCAGACGGGTGTTCTCAGTAAAGGAGAGTGAAACTGAAGCACGGGCGTGCGGGGGACAGTTAGCAAAGATCAGGTTCTTCGGGCTGACTCGTTGCAGGGACCCTGGCCTGTGACAAGGAGCATGGGCTTGATCGGATGGGAGAAGGAGGTTAAGAAGGAGTAATCACACCACACCATGTGCGACTGAAGACGACGTGCTACGCAGGAGGCAGAACGTTCCGACGGCCAGAAGAATCGCAGTGAGGGCAGGAGTGGTGCAAAGAGGAATGAAGACAGAAGTAAAAGAAGTTGTCAAGTGTTGACCTTTATGAAATATTCTCTCCCAATAGTTTAAGAGTGTGGCTTTCAAAAGTACCTCAATTTAAATCCAGACCATCCTTTTACTTATATATAAAATGGGGCTAATACTGCCTGCCTCTCAGGTTCCTTGTGAAGATAAAAGCCAGTGTGTATTAAGAATCTGGCACATTGCCAGTGTTTAATACACACTCATTGATATTTTTATTGTTACTGTTGCTTTGAGAGAGGAGGAGGAATCAAAGAGAAATGAGAAGCTTTGAGCATGTAGGACAGAGAGGAGCATGAAGGCATTCACGTAAACTGGGAATGGAAGACAAGGCCCGGCGGCCCTGCTCCCAAACATCAGGCGGAGGGGCTGATGTTGAGGTGGACTGTATTTGCAGTAGTGAGCGGGTACTGTGTTTTCAAGAAATCTGGTGAAGAGACAAAAGGGGTCATGGGAGATCTGAACATGATCATACCAGGTAGCGAAGAGGCAGCCAGTAGAAACAACAGATGGAGCCGATCCTCACAGAGGCCTGAGAGGACAAGCCTGCGGGGCTTAGCCTGAGAGGAGTCGCTTCCTCTCATCTGTGCGATGGGAACCAGAGAAAACAAGGTGGGTGAACAACGTGGAGATTTGTCAGGTAGAGTATGGGAAGGTCGAGGCAATTTATGTCAGAGATTTTGCTTTTTCTGTAAAGCGTGAGGCACTTCCCTCATCCACAGAGTTTGAGGTAATACTGAGGCCTAGGAACCGAAGAAATTAGAAAAGCCTGAAATAGGCAGACTGAGGAATATTATGTGGAGTCAATTCATAAAGAAAACAAAAAGCTTCTGCAGGAATGAATGCCCACCTGTGCTCATGGGAGATGTAGCATAACAGGCTGGCATAGTTTGGGGCTGTTCCGCAGCAATGCTTCTGGTGTTAGTAACTCTACAAAGGCCTCTTTACTCTTTTGCTGCCCTTGTTTATAACCAATTCTTATTGCATCTGGATTTATACAGTTCGATTTTCTGCCAAGAGAGTCTGGCCACACACTTCTCCTTTAGTGAACTTGGTTCCGCCTGACATCTGCTCATTTCCAGTGTGCAAAAACTCTCTGGCCAAGAAGGCTCTCATTTAAATCTGGTGCTGGCTGCCATTCTTTTAAGCAGCACTTTCAATGTGTCTAAAGAGGATATTCGCAAGATGTGCTTACTTATCCCGTTTCAGGTAAGGAGGCGGAGCTGGGCCAGCACTGGGAGGTTTCTGGCTTGATTTGAGCTGGAACATTGTCTTATCAATCTACTGACACAAAGTCTGTCCTTGGGGAGGGAGAATCAGGACATAGAAATGGAATGTTTAGGTTAAAAACAATATTCCCCCTAAGAAGGGTGGACTTACATCCCATCTGTACAGTAACATCACGGATCTTGGGGAAAGCCATTGGAGCCGATTCTCACTTACCCATCCCATTCATGACGGGGATGAGCATGGTGGTGCTGAATAGCCACAGCAGTGAACATTCACTGAACATTTCTCTACGCACTCTGCTTCCAGTGGTTCTTCCTTCTCAGAACAGGTTATAAGGTAGATACTATTATTGCCTTGCTTTTTCCAGAAAGGGAACTTGAGGCACAAAGAGCCTAAATAACTTCCCTAAAGTCACGCCACTGATAAGTAGGTGCTCCAAGGCTTGGAGACAAGTTTGCCTTCTGAGAAGGAAATTATAAAAAACAAAAACAAAAACCACTGTACAATTTAGTGGGTGAGAGGAGCTTTCTCGGTAAGTCGCTCATACTTGGTCAAGGGGCGGCTTAATGGCAGGCAGGCAAGGAACAGGGAAAGGAAGGTTCTTCTTGCACAGCACACTGAACAAGTAATGACAAGAACTACTTTCAGCGACAGACATCTCTATTGTGTCTGCTCACATTCTTGAAAGGAATCACATTACTCTTCATTTGCTAATTCTACCTTATCTGTCATGAACATTTTCTTTTTATCCTGCTTTTTTAATGATTCTTTGGATCTCTTTGGCTTCCCTTGAGATGTTTGTTTCCATTTCTTCCCAACTGGTCTTTTTTATTCTTTTACAAAACTTTCAACCAGTGTTTTCCACAATATTTGTTTTGCCTTCAAGGAGAACATGTCAGAAGGTTTTGCTAATAGAATCACAGAATATGGAGCAGAAAAAGTCCTCTGAGATAGTCCTATCTAAGTTTTTTAGAAGAGGAAACGTCCGTGTAAAATACCTTCCTCTGTTAACCTCTGCACCTATGTTTTGTCTTTATTTATTTTATGAGAAGACCTTGTTTGTCATTAGCTGTGTGGCACTAGACAAATTACCCAGAACTCTGTGGCTCAGTTGAGTCATCTCTGATATGGTAAGGAGACTTACCACTAATACTAATGCCTATCTTCCTTCCTTCCCTCCCTGTCTCCCCTGCAAGGCTATGGTAAGAGGCTGACTGAAACATCTGACTGAAAATATAGTGACCAGAATTGAAACACTTACACAAATATTTGAGTATCTCTTTTCATCCTTTTCCTTTCTGAACAGGTTCTTGTGTCACTCTAGTGGCACTTCAGGTCTCTATTATTCTAGGGATCAGCTTACCAAACTTTTATATATTGTTTAAAGGCTCCCAATTACTGCTTTCTTTTGCTAAGCCTTTGAAACGTTTTTTTATTAAACTCTGACATCTTCCCAAAGTTGCATAAAGCATAGGTCACTATGGATGAATCAACTCTCATTTCCTAGCAACTATGACAGAGAAATGCCAAAAAGAATGTATTACAAAGCAAGGAATGCTAATTTCTTTTCTTCCACCATTAGTTTTTGAAATAGTATAGATACATTATTTTGACATAGTACATATTCTGCAGCAGCTAACATTTATTGAACACTTACTATATTATGCTAGGTATGATAAGGGTTTTATATGCAAATTTTCAATTCTCTAAATGACCCTATGGGATAGGTACTACTCGTCTCCCCTTAGCACTAGAGGAAACTGACAAATGTTACAAAGTTACTAAATAGGATTGAAATGTAAGTCTGACACAAGAGATGGAATTTTTAACCCTGACATTATTCTGTAAACAGATGAATAAGAACACAGAATAGTAACTCTCAAGTACATTTTAAATACTCAGGAGGTTCACAGGATAGGCACTACAGTGGTAACATGTCAGGTTAGTAACTCTAAAAAATATTAACCAGGTAAAAAA